GGCGTGGGCGTGGGCGTGGGCGTGGGCGTGGGCGTGGGCGTGGGCGTGGGTGTGTGGGCGTGGGCGTGGGTGTGTGGGCGTGGGCGTGGGCGTGGGCGTGGGCGTGGGCGTGGGCGTGGGCGTGGGCGTGGGCGTGGGCGTGTGTGTGCGACCAGAGGGAGGCCCGAAAGGCGAGGCGAGGACGACGCCACGGAGGGGGAGGGCTTGCTACAGGGGTCGGTCAGGCCGCGCCCGAGAGCGGGTTCGGGCCATCGCCTTTTAGCGATGGGCCCATTGTCCACCACAACCACCACCACCATAGGTAGGAGGGGGATGGAGTCCTCCTCCTCCTCCTCCTCCTGCTCTTCCTGCTCCTCCTCCTCCTCCTCCTCCTCCTCCTCCTCCTCCTCTTCCTCCTCCTCCTCCTCCTCCTCCACCTCGGCACGATCAAAGTGGTCTGGACCCTCCAAGACAAGCCATTTCGGACCTCCCCCGTGGGAGAACCCTCCAAGACATCGTCCCCAGACCCCCCAGGCCCTCCAAGACAGCCTGGAAGAGACCCCCCCCCGAAATGAGACCCCCCTCCCTTTATTATTAAATCTGGAGTATTCTGGATCACTTAATAATCGCCCGAGTGCCCGGGGGTGGGGGGGGGCTCGGCGCGTCCGCGGGGATGCCAGGGGGGGGGGTCTGGGGTTCGTTCCCTTCCCCGCTGGGGCGCTGGGGTGGTGCCCGGGGGGGTTGGCCGCGCCGCGTTTTCACGTTTGTCCACCCCCGGTGGATTACTAAGAAGTTCGGAGTAGTTAGTGGGCACTCCCCCTCTCCCTCAAACTCGAAGTTGGCACGCGCGGGGGAGATTGCGGTCGAAGTGCAGCTCATGAGATCCACCGCCAATTTTGAACATTGGGGGGGGGGAGAGCGACGAATGTGGCCCGCGTGTTTGCCATGTCTTCCGAGGCCTGGACGAAGCACCGGTCCTTGGGCAAAGAGGCCTGGACCTCTGGGGCCATTCAAAAGCACGGGTCCGGATGTCTGGGGAGGCCGTCAATTTTTGCACGGCGGGTGCCCAGCGAAGCTCAGCGCGTGCGTGCCGACTGCAGCTCCCAGGGCGTGCATAAAGCTTGGTCTTAGGTGCTCACAGCTGCAATGGGGTCAGCGCGTGTACGAACGAATGCGACACGCGCAGCCGTAGATTATCAGCGTGTGTCTTTCTTCCTCCCCTTCCTTTCCCTCCTTAACTTGTTATGTTATGTCTTGCCGAGGCGCCGTGCCATAGACTGGCGCATAGCTGTGTTGTTGTTGTTGTTGATGCTGTTGCTGTTGCTGTTGTTGTTGAACATTATTACTTCTAAAGAATAATTATTGTTGGGACCCCTGGTGCACGACCCCCCCGCCGCGCCTAGGCCGCAGCCTCATTTTCATCATTTTCGTGAGGAAGTCTCAGGCAAAACGGGTTGGTCCGGATCCGGTTGTTTTGTTACGATCGGTTTTCCCTTGCAAAAAATAAGCTAAAGTGGACATTTCTTGTTCTAACATAACCAAACTTCAAGAATCCCTTGCAAAAAATAAGGTAAAGTGGACATTCGCGCGCGCAAGACGAAATCCTTCCAAAACCTTAGTTTTCGTAGCGATTTTAACATAAAAACATCAAAAAACCAATGGTTTTTCAAAAAAAAAAATGTCAAAATTTCATCCCGCGCGCTCTTGCGGATTCGTAGGAAACCCAACACTTTTTAATCATTTCTGTCAAACGGGCTTTTGCGAGCAACTTTTTCGAACTTCTGCAACAACGGTTGCGCACCTGCCAGGGCCATCATCCCTGTCAAATAATACCATGCGGGACACATTCGTTTTTTCTTCGCGCGCGCACGCCGTCGTCGTCGGCCGCGGGGCCCTGAATAGTAGCCACGGTCGTCCGCATGCCACGAAGTGAAGTGTCCGAACGTCATAGGGCGGGAAGCTGGGTGTGGGTGGTGGCGAAGAGTCGTTTGGAAATTTGGTAGAGCTTGAACCGGCCCCCCCACAAAGTGGGGGTATTGCCCGCCTCCTATGAAAACCCTGGCACTGGTGAGAACGGTGTGTCCCCACGTGCTAGTAATTGTTGTTGTTGTTGTTGTTGTTGTTGTTGTTGTTGTTGTTGGTGTTGTAGTTGTTGCTGGTGTTGTTGTTGTTGGTGTTGTTGTCGTTAGATGCTCCGGCCAGTGCTTTGATAGCACACCATCAGGCGATGTTGGCGTGGTGATCGATGGAGCGCCTGATGCGGCAATGAAAACAGCTTCCACCCATTGTGAGAAATAATCGCGGTCCGTGTCGCCGCGGATTCTGTGCATTTAGAGCACAGGGTCACATGCCCAGTAGCAGCCACCGTCGGTTTGGGGTATCACCTGCTGTTGGGCACCGTGCCGATTCCTGTCCAGACCCATCTCTGGCGCACACCAAGCCCTTTCTGCCTCCGCTGCGAGCGTGGCTCGGCCCTGGTGGGGTCCGCGGGCACGGGCCCAAGCCGCGCTCGACCGCCTGCGGCACGCTGGAGGCCCATCCCGGTGAGGCGGCGCGGGCCGGTGAAGAGGGGCTGTTCTGCTGTGGCCCGAGACGAGCGAGGCGCTGGCAGCGTGGGGTTGCGGACCCAGTCGCGCCGCTCGCTGCGACCCCCGTGGTCAGGAGCTGTGGCTCAGCGCGTGGCGCCGCCCTGGCCCAGCACGCTGCGGCGCGACACGCTGTCCACGCTCCAGTCCCCGACCCTGAACCTCCCCGGGCTTTGGTCCCACCCTTCCGCCCGGAGCAGCTGAGCGACCTGGCCGCCTGCAGGGCGTGGCGCGACGCTGGCGCCGCCCCCCTCCCGACGCGCCGAGCAAAAGCTCCTGGCTGTGTTGCGTCTTCGGGGGGGGGCCGGCTGGACCGCCACGGGCCGCTGAGCAAGCCGAGCGGGCAGGCTACAGTTCTTTCTGGCGCTGGGCGCGCAGAGCGGGCCTCCCCGGGCGCTGTGCTTCTCTACCAAGGGAGGAGGAACCACCCGGAAGCGTTGACTGGCGTCTGCTAGACGGCATGGGCGCTTACCAAACAGCCCTGCACTGTTCGATTCCTGCTTTGCGTGCGTTTAGTAAACGGCTTCGCGTGTCGGGGTGATTCTCATGGGGGTGGAGTTTCTGCCCTCGATTTAAGGCGCGGGAGTGAGCAGTCTGCCCGCAGCCATTTTGGCTCGACGTCCGCGGCGCTTCAGCGGCACTCTTGCGGCCACCGCCCCGCACAACACGTGCCGGGTTTTTTGGCCGGGAGTGTGATGCTTGCGCTTGAGGAGAAGCCTCGTACGGTGGTGCTGCTGTGGCCGCAGACCAAGCTTGATGGACTCGAGCAGGAGATTGTCACGAAGCTCGAGAACAGCTACCTCGAGGTGAAGGCCAGGAAGGAGGTGTACCTGAGCGAGGAAGAGCTGGAGCGGTTCTTCAGCTCCATGCCCGTGGCGGAGCGCGAGGCCTCCAGACCGGGTGCCTCCGCAGCAGCCTATCTGAGCGAGGTGATGGTCCTCGAGCATCTCGACGGCGACGCCATTGAAAGAGTGATCGCCATGCAGGCAGAACTCGGCACCTCCGGCGCAGGAACGTCCCGCGTGTATTGCAGCCCCAGCGCCTGGGATGCCGTGCGCGACCTCGAGTGGTTCTTCCCCCACTTGGACGACATGCCGGTTGAGCGAACTCTGGCGGTGATCAAGCCAGACTGTGTCGGAAGGGAGGTGGAGGGCCAGACGCTCCTTGAGGTGCTGCAGGCGGGTGCCGCCGCGGCGGGCCTCTTCGTCGTCGGCACGCGCGAGGTGGTGCTCCAGAGCACGCAGGCCGAGTGCCTCTGCGAGGACATCAGAGGGTCTCCCGACTACGGTGGCGCCCTGGGCGTTCTGCAGAGGCCCGAGGGGGCCATCGCCCTGTGCCTCGAGGGCAGAGGCGCCGTCAGCAAGCTGAGGCTGCTCTGCGGACCCGCGTCGCCGGAGGCGGCGCGGCAGCGAGCGCCCACGACGCTGCGCGCCCGCTGGGGCACGGACAGCTCGAGCAACGCGGTGCACTGCAGCGGTTCCCTGCAGGCGGCAGAGAAGGAGCTGAAGCTGCTCTTCCCCGAGGGAGCCTTGCAGCTGCAGCGCACGCTCTGCGTGGTGAGGCCGGGCACGATGCCGAGCGTCCTCCAGGTCCGCACGATGATCGAGGACGCCGGCTTCACGATCCTTGCGGAGAAGCAGGTGGTGCTGACGGAGTCCCGGGCCCAGGAGTTCTACCGCGAGCGCAGGGGCGAACCTTCCTTTGCCTCGATGGTTGGCGAGGCCTGCGATGGCCCCTGCTGCATCATGGTGCTGTGCCGCCTGGAGGCGGTCTCCGTCTTCCAGCAGCTGGCGAACGCGGACAGGCCAGGGTCCATCGGCGCCCTGTGCGGGCCCGTGCACGGCAGCGCCACGGTCAAGTCCGCCGCTCGAGAGGTACACTTCTTCTTCCCCGAGCTGCCCCTGGACCCCGTCCCGGGCGACGAGGAGGTGCGAGACTTCCTCTTCCGGAAGTCCGCGAGCGCCTCCATGGACATCAGCAGCCTTCCAGAGTCTGGGGGCACCGCCAACTTTGCCGTCGACCCCACGCTTCAGGAGCTGCTTTCGAAGGGCCTCATGGCCATCTGCCAGGTGCAGCCGAAGGGCCTAGCGGCCGTCAAGTGGCTCAGCAGATGGCTGGACGAGAACAACCCCAACAAGCTGGACCTGGCAGCCAATGCAGACGCTCCGAAGTTCGCGCCTCCCCAGCGAACCAAGCAATTCGTGGAGTACGGCGTCAACGATGAGGGCATGCCATTCGCCGTAGAGGCGCCACCGGCCGAGCTTCCAAAGCCAGTGGTCGAAGTGGACGTCTCCGGCGAAGCTCCAACATACCGCAATACCAAGCTGGAGTTGCCTTTCGTAGTCTTTGTGCTCGGGGGGCCAGGCAGCGGAAAGGGCACGCAGTGCATGAAGCTGCGCGACGAGTTCAACCTGATCCACCTGAGCACTGGTGACCTGATGCGCGAGGAGGTGGCGGCAAAGTCGCATCTGGGCACGGAGATCTTCAGGCACATGCAAACAGGCTCGCTGGTGCCGGACCAAGTGACCGTGAGGCTCCTCAAGAACGCGATGCTGAAGCACCAGGACACCAATCGGTTCTTGATCGACGGCTTCCCCCGAACCCTGGAGCAGGCGAAGATGTTCGAGCACGAGATTGCATCGGTCTCCTTCGCTGTCAGTTTCGACCTGAGTCCAGACGTGATGCGCGAGCGCATCGCCGCGCGCGCTGCTGCGGCACCTGGGCGAGTGGACGACAATCCGGAGACCGTGGAGAAGCGCCTCAAGGTGTTCGAGGAGCAGTCGAAGTCTGTCATTGACTTCTACGATCCCATCGGCAGGCTGCGCCGCGTCGGCGCAGCAGCGGGCATAGACGAGGTTCAGGAGGGGAAAAAACACACAGACACAATTAATCGGCGATTCCCAGAAAATATGGGAAAATATGGGAAGTGGGGGGGAAGACAAAAACCCAGAAAATATGGGAAAATATGGGGGATAATTTTATTTGTGTGTATTTATTTGTGTGTCCCAGTTCCCCTTCAGAGGTCTACGCCGAGACGAGGCGGCATTTCTGCAGCCGCTTCGTGTACCTGCTCGGGCCCCCGGGCTCCCCCGTGGTGCCCGTGGCGCGGCGCCTGGAGCAGAGGTATGGGCACCGCTGCGTGGACGTGCCCGCCCTGCTGCGGGCCTACGGCGACTCGAAGGAGGAGGAGGCCGCGGCGGTCCGGCGGTGCCTGGCCACCGGCAGGCCCGTGGACCCGGCCATCGTGTGCCCGCTGGTGCTGAAGGAGATCGCGAGAGGCCAGTCCGTGGGGCGGTCGAGCTTTGTGCTCTGCGACTTCCCGCAGACGCTCAAGCAGGCCCAGTTCCTGGAGCTCCGGATGCCGTGCACCTCGAAGCCGTTGCTGCTCGACTTCGGCCGCGCAGACGCGGAGGACATGGCCGCGACGACGATACCCTTGGAGTGCAATGAGCTGGAAGTGGAGACCAGGATTGCAGCGTTCTTCGGCTCAGAGATGCAGGGCATGCTGCGCTCATTGCCTGGACTGGAGCGCATCCCTCTTGCGTTTTCTGGGAAGGAGCCACTGCCAGCAGGGAAGGCAAGCCTTGATGCGATTGGTGTTGAGCAGCACCTTGTCGATTCTGCATGCGAGGCCGTGTTCGAGAAGGTCAGGCCAGGATTGACCCTTGTCCTGGGCCTTCCGTTCAGCGGCGTCACAGATTCTATAGGCTTGCGCCACATCCACCGACCCCATGGTATTTCTCAGGGGAGCGCTTCCGGCGCCTAAGCACTCTTGGCAGGGAGCAGCGCTGGCGCTCACAAGGAAGCGTGACCAGGGTGGTGGTGGGGGGGGCGGTAGAAAACTACAGAGTAGTGACCCTCAAAGAGTGTCCCAACGGTCGGCGTACTTCCGCACTGTGTGGGCGGCTGCAGAAGGAAGAGGAGGAAACGCAGGAGGAGGATGAGGAGGAGGATGATGAGGAGGAGGAAGAGGGCAGGAGGAGGAAGAGGAGGACGATGACGAGGACGAGGAGGAGGAGGCTGAGGAGGGGGTGGAGAGGGCGGACCAAGAGGAGGAGGAGGAAGAGGAGGAGGAGGAGGAGGAGGAGGAGGAGAAGGAGGAAGAGGGGAGGAGGGGGTGGAGGAGGAGGAGGAGGAGGAGGAGGAGGAGGAGGAGGCGGAGTCGCTCAAGTATCCGCCATATCATTATATTCCCAGTTGGCAAACGTACGTGTGCTTCGGCTTCTGCAAGTGGAAACTCCCGAAATCCTTGTTCGTCGTTGGACCACATTTCGCGCGCTCCCACCAGAACGGCACCCTGAAAGCAAGTCGTGCGCGTGAGGCCCGTTGAAGCGACTTTGGCAGCGCGCGAATGCTCGGGGCCGCAGGGGGGAACAGGAGGAGGTAGGTGACGTGGGGATGGAGGAGGAGGAGCAGGAAGAAGAGGAGGAGGTGTCAGAGCCCTGAGGGATGTTTCTTGGAGTCATTGTCTTTTCTGCGGCTGACATTCTCAGCGTTTGCCGTGCACGCATGGGGAAAAGGGGGAAAATCCACGTTCACAGACGGCGGGCATCTGTCCAAAAACTGAGGAATGATTATCGAAGACGCCTACGGCGAATCACCGCCGCCCCCTGCCTTTTTGGAAGCGCCTATGTGGCCGAACGTTGAGGCCGGACCTGCCAAGCATCGGACCATGTGTTCCCCGAATCGGTTTGGAAAGCCTTCGGGGAACACGTGGGCATCTTTAAAGTCATCTTGGCCGTCTGGAGGCCATTGTGACCGTTTCGGGCCTTCTTGGAGGACGTCTTGGAGGGCTCTGGGGCCGTCTTGGAGGCCATCTTGGGCGTCTTAAAAGCCTCGTGGCCCATCTTGGGGGCCTCTTGGGTGACCTTTGGGGGCACTTGGGCCGCCTCGGGCCGTCGGAAGACCGAAAAAAGCACGTGCTACAACCCTGCAAAAACTCATGGGAACTCAATATGTTTTGCCTTGTTGGGCCTTCCTGGAGGCCCTCTTGGAGGGCTCTTGGGCCGTCTTGGGCCATCTTAGGGCCATCTTCGGCCGTCTTGGTGGGCCCCTGGCCCGTCCGACGCCGTCGAAAGCCGTTTGGGGAGCCTCTCTGAGCCGATTTGGGGCCCTCTTGGAATGCTCCAGGGCCGTGTTGGAGGCCATCTCGGGCGTCTTAAAAAGCCCCTTGGGCCGTCTTGGGGGCCTCTAGGGCCGTTCTGAGGCCATCTTGGAGGCCTCTTGGGCGATCTTTGGGCGATCTTTGGGGGCTCTTGGGCCGTATCGGGCCGTCGGAAGGCCGAAACGAAGCAGATGTCAACATCATTCAAAAACCTACGGGGAAATCATCCTTTTTGGCTTTTTTTCTGGCCTTCCTGGAGGCCCTCTTGGAGGCCTCTTGGGCCGTCTTGGGCCAGCTTCGAGCCAACTTCGGCCATCTTGTGGGACTCCTGGCCCGTTTGACGCCGTCGGAAGCCGTTCGGGGAGCCTTTCTGGGCCGACTTGGGGCCCTCTTGGGTTGCTCCAGGCCCGTCTTAGAGGCCATCTTGGGCGTCTTGGAGGCCTCTTGGGTCGTCTTTATGCCCTCTTGGGGCCGTCTTGGGGGCCTCTTGGGCAGTCCTGAGGCCATCTTGGAGGCCTCTTGGGCGCTGTGGGGGCGATCTTGGGGGCCTCTTGGGTCGTCTTGGGTCGTCGGAAAGCCGAGGAGAAGCGAATGCCAAAATCCTCCAAACACCTAAGGAAGATCAATGATTTTGGCCTCTTCGGGCTTTCCTGGAGGACCTCTTGGAGGACTCTTGGGCCGTATTGGAGGCCTCTTGGGCCGTCTGGGGCCATGTTGAGGCTATCTTAGGCAGTGTTGAGTGCATCTTGGCTCGTCTTGGAGGCATCTTGGAGCCATCTTCGCCGTCTTGGAAGCTATATTGGCCGTCTTGGATGCATCTTGGAGACCATCTTGGGCCGTCTTGGAGCCGTCTGGAGCAGGGAAAACCTTTGCAACCAGGTTTTGAGATCCTTCCCGGGACCCCGGCGGGACGGGCCGAAGCCCCAGGGGGAGTTTTTTTTTTTGGGGGGGGAAAAGGAACAAAACCAAAACCGAAAGGGTTCAGCACGCCAGGCACCCCTGCGATGAATCGACAGGGCGCGGCGGATCGAAGACGCTTACGGCGAATCACCGCTGCGCCTTTTTGGAAGCGCCTATGTGGCCGAACGTTGAGGCCAGACTTGCCAAGCTATCGGACCATGTGTTCCCCGAATCGGTTTGGAAAGCATTCGGGGAACACGTGGGCATCTTGAAGGTCATCTTGGCCGCCTGGAGGCCATTTTGACCCTTTCGGGCCTTCTTGGAGGACGTCTTGGAGGGCTCTTGGGCCGTCTTGGAGGCCATCTTGGGCGTCTTAAAAGCCTCCAGGGCCGTCTTGGGACCGTCTTGGGCCTCTTTGGTGATCTTTGGGGGCACTTGGGCCGTCTCGGGCCGTCGGAAGGCTGAAAAACAAAAATGCTACAACCCTTGGAAAAATCATGTCAATAATATGTGCCCTTTCGGGCCTTCCTGGAGGCCCTCTAGGAGGGCTCTTGGGCAGTCTTGGGCCATCTTCGGGCCATCTTCGCCCGTCTTGGTGGGCCCCTGGCCCGTCCGACGCCGTCGAAAGCCGTTTGGGGAGCCTCTCTGAGCCGACTTGGGGCCCTCTTGGAATGCTCCAGGGCCGTCTTGGAGGCCATCTTGGGCGTCTTAAAAGGCCTCCTGGGCCGTCTTGGGGGCCTCTTGGGGCCGTCTTGGGGGCCTCTAGGGCCGTTCTGGGGCCATCTTGGAGGCCTCTTGGGCGATCTTTGGGCGATCTTTGGGGGCTCTTGGGCCGTATCGGGCCGTCGGAAGGCAGAAACGAAGCAAATGTCAAAATCCTTCGAAAACCATGGGAAATCCATGTGTTGGGCCTTTTCTGGCCTTTCTGGAGGCCCTCTTGGAGGCCTCTTGGGTCGTCTTTGTGCCCTCTTGGGGCCGTCTTGGGGGCCTCTTGGGCAGTCCTGAGGCCATCTTAGAGGCCTCTCGGGCGCTGTGCGGGCGATCTTGGGGGCCTCTTGGGCAGTCTCGGGCCGTCGGAAAGCCGAGAAGAAGCGAATGCCAAAATCCTTCAAAAACCAACGGAAAATGAATGATTTGGGCCTCTTCGGGCCTTCCTGGAGACCCCGTGGAGGCCTCTTGGACCGTCTTGGTGGCATCTTGCGGGCCTTTTGGGCCGTCTTGGGCCGTCTTGAGGCCAGCGGGGGCCGTCTTGCAGGCATCTTGGGGCCATCTGAGCCGTCTTGGAGGCCACCGTGGCCATCTTGGAGGCATCTTGAGGGTCGTCTTGGACCATTTTGGATGCCATCTTGGGCCAACGTGGCCATCTTGGAGGCCATCTTGAACCATCTTGGAGGATTTTTTCTGGATTGAGCTCCTTGAGATCCTTTCCCGGTGGCGGGCGAGACGGGCCGAAGCCCCAGGGGGAGTTCTTTTGGAAACAGAACCAGCACCAAAACCGAGAGGGTCCAGCACGCCAGGCACCCCTTTGATAAATCGAAAGGGGGCGGCGGATCCTATGGCCTTCGGCCCATCCAGCCACCGTGCCTGGGTTGTGGGTTTGAGGCCATCTGAGGCCACTCGAAGGGCTGATGGGGTCTCGCGTGAAGCCTTTCGGGAGCGGGCCTCTTGGGGCCCCCTGGGGGGCTCTTGGGGGTTTGGGGGGGCCCTCTTGGTTCTCCTAGGGGGCCTCTTGGGGGCTTTTTGGGGCGACCTGGGGGCGTCTTGGGGCCGAAGGCTCTAAATTTCAAGTCTGGTCCCCCCTCAGGGCCTCCTCCTGGGGCCGTGCCTTCTAGGGACATCTTGGGGGTTTCTTTGTCCGTCTTGGGGCCTTTTTGGGGTCATCTTGGAGCCCTCTTGGGGGCCTCTTGGGCCGCCTTGGACGCAGTGGAAGCCCAAGGGGCGAAGATGCTAAACACATACGTTGTCCTAAGGGACTGGGGCACTTGTTGCTTCTTGGGGCTATCTTGGGGGGCCTCTTGGAGGCCTTGTGGGGTTGTCGTGGAGGCATATTGCGCCGTCCGGAGGCCCTTCGGCGATCCAGGGCCTCCTTGGACCGCCTCGGGGGCCTCTTGGAAAGCCTCATGGGCCGTTCTGGAGCTCCCGAGGGAGCTCGGGGAGGCCCGGCTCCCCCCCTCCTCCTCCTCCTCCTCCTCCTCCTCCTCCTCCTCCTCCTCCTCCTCCTCCTCCTCCTCCTCCTCCTCCTCCTCCTGATGAGTTCGGCCGGGGGGGGGGGTCAAAGTCTCGGTTTGGAGTCCCAGGGGGGGGGAACCATAGGGGGGGAAGAGTCTCACACGCCTGGAGACCCCAATGGGTCGGCGGATTTGTCGAAGATGTTGGCGAAGCGCGCCCCGAATTGTCAGACTGTTGACTGTCAAGAACTGATTGGCGCGGAGATTGAGAGGAAGACAGAGGCTGGCCTCGAAATCGAGGAGATGCTGCTCAGTGGCCAGGTTGTGCCGGAGTCGGTTGTCCTGGAATTGCTCAAGAAGGTAGCCGCCTTGACTTGCTCCGACTCCCTGGTGGTCGAGAACTTCCCCATGCTCGTGGACCAGATCAATGGTCTCGCCAAGGAGTTCCGGATCGATCGGGCGTTCTACATCTCAGGGGATTCCAAGGCGCAGAGCGCATGGAAGGCAGAATTCGAGGCGGCGATGGCAACCAGGCCTGCAGGCAGCGAGGTGGCTAAGAGGTTTGCAGCAGCGGTGTTCGATGATAGGCTGCTGGGCTTGGATCCGATCGTAGCATATTTCAGCCAGCTTGGAAAGCTGGAGCGGCTTGACGTATCCGGGACGCCAACTAGCGATCAGCTGGCGAGCATGATCGAGCGCGCCACGATGCCCCAGTTTACAGTTTTTACAGGGCCTTCCGCTGTTACCACACCGAAGCAAGCAGAGAAGCTGGCGAAGGCCTATTCCGCAGGTTCACCGCTCACCGCCGAGAAAATCGTGGCATGGGCCAAGGCAACGCTCTCCGAGATGATCGACCCCGCACAGCCTGATAGCTTCATACCAGCCTTGCAGAAATTTGTTGCTAGTGCCAATTCCCCTTTGCTTGTTCTAGACAGATACCCAAAGACAGCCGACGACGCGGCAGCTTTTCTTGCCACGTTTGGTGCCCCAAAGCTGGTGGTCGAGATAGCGTGCGAGACTGAGTTTCTAGTGGAGGAGTTCCAAGAGGCCAATGAAGATGCAGAGGTGGACCCCGAGGAATTACAGGCAAAGTTCGATGAAGACAAGCAGGTGACAGCTACGATGCTAGCAAGCATGGAGGAGGCATGCCCAGGGTGCGTGCTGTCCCTCAGCCAAGCGACGGTGAAGCCAGAAGAGATGGAAGAGCTGGTCAAGAAACGCCTCCTGCCCCAGGTGTGCGTGCTCGTCTGCCCCACGCCTTTCGCAGGGGCCGTAGCAGACGCGATGTGCACCAAGGGGAAGTTCACCTTGCTCGACTGCGCCAAGCTGTTGAGCAGCGGCGGGCACACCCCACAGCTGGAGGCACAGCTGTCCAGGGCGCTGAAGAGTGCGGAGCTGACCGACGCGCTGCCAGCGCAGCTCTGGAAGGCGCTCTTCCAGGAGGCGTTTGCCACTTCGGCCAACCCGATGGGCAAGTTCATCATCACGAACTTCCCTACGCCCTGCTCGACGAGGTCAAGCCCCACCATTCGGGATCAGTTCTGCATGCTCGAGTCCATCGCGGTGCTCCGCGGCATTCTGCAGGTGACGCTGACCAAGGAGGCCTTTGCCCAGTGCTGCCGCGATGGCCACGACGCGCTCGCCGAGTACCTTGGCTTCGACGAATCCGTGAGGCAACAGACAGCGGTCCAGTTCGCGGATAGCCAGATCTGCGAAGCGCGCGTCGAGGACGCGACGAACTCGAAGCGCGCGGCGGAGGCGGTAGCTGCGAAGCTCCTGGATTACTTGAAGTAGGCTTGTGCCGACCTCAGCGAAGATGGGGCCCCAGCAGCCGAACAGTTTGGGGGAGGGGGGACAGAACAGCTATAGCAGCCAACGAAGAGCAGATCAACGGTCCCGAATGCTTGCCGACGCATCATCGCTACTTTCAAGTTTCCTCTCTGGCTGCAGGTTGCGAGCTGTTTTGCTCGCTCCTGCCCTCTTGGCCCTCTGGGGCCCTCCTGCGATGACCGACCCGAGGCACGACCTCCCCAGACGCGCCGATCAGCGCTCAACCCCTGCAGCATGCGTCTCACCCGTCACACCGTCTGGCTCCAGAATTCGTGCAGGGCCTTGGGCAGCGCCGCTTCCGCTCTCCCCTCGTGCGCCTCTCGCGTGGCAGGGCGGGATGCGGAGCGCCGCGCGTGTCTCTTGGATTGCCGCCGGTGCTCCGCGTTCGCACCGACGTCTTCTGGGCGGCCGCGCGCTGGAGTGACCCTTCGCCGGAGCGACCTCTGGTGCGGGCCCACAGGCATCCCCCCAGCACTCGCTTGCGCGCCCGGACTTGGCCGTTCCTGCTGCATCCCGAGGGCCTCGCACCGAAGGTCACTCCAGCCCAGGGTCACTCCTGCTGTGGAGCCCATTTGACCGCGGTGGAGCGAGGAACAAACCCTGACCTCCCGGCGTCATGGCGCAGGCAGACAGAAACATCGAAGCATACGCAGCACCCCGCAATTGCGGATGAGAGTGAGGGGCTGGCCCGGGGTGGGTCGGGGGATGGGTCCCGGTTGGGTCGGGGGTGGGTCACGAGGTGGGTCGCGGGGTAGGTCGCGGACGGGTCGCGGGCGAGGACGACGACAACGCAACAACAACAACAACAACAACAGCATCAACAAAAACAAACCAACAACAACATCATCATCAACAACAACAACCTAAACAACCTCAACAACAATGATAACACCAACAATAACATCGACGATCAGTTTAAGACTGTTCGCACTTATCTGCTCGCGCGCCATTCAACACGCAAGTCCCAAACCCTCCCTACCCGCCCCCTTCGTCTTCGATCGTACCCCCTTAGGAGCATTTCTTTCTTACCTATAACGAGTATTCCGTGTAGCCCCTAAGGCAGGGAACGAGGATTGATGGAAGGAAGGGACAAGGGGGAGGGAGGAAGATGGAGCACGAGAGAGAGTATTGGGAGGGGGGCTAGGAGCAGAAAACACGTGGCAGAGCCAGACGGGCAGATCGGGAGGGTGGATCCTACCAGGCGTGTCGGGAGGGCGGGCCCAGGCGGCCAGGTCGAACAGGCGGGTTTTTGCGCGTGTCCTGCATGCATCGCGAGGGAGTCGCAAGCGATATCGCGATTCCCAAACAAATCGTGAGAAAGGCCAAAGCGAGAGCGTGATTTCTGAGTGTCGAGGGCGCGGCGTCTGAATAAATAGCAAGGAAGTCCTTTGCAGGAGCGCGATTTCTGTATAACTTGTGAAGACGTCCCGCGCGAGAGTGCGATTTTGGAATACATTGTGAGGAAGTATCGGGCGGGAGCCCCTGTTGTTGTAACTAGGGGGCCAGGGCGCGCCCATTTGGTGACATGACTCTTCCCTCGTAGCAAACCGGGTGCGAGCCCCAGGAAACGTAGTTAATTGAAGCAATACAGCGGTGACCGGGCACGGGGGATCCGTAATAATTGCTATGTAACAGCAACAACAGCAGCAACAACAGCAGCAACAACAACGACAACAACAACAATTGCAACATCAACAACAACAACAACCTTAACATCACCAACAACAATAACAACAACGGCAACAACAGCAACAGCACCAACAACAACAACAACAGCCTTAGTAACAATAGCAGCAGCAGCAGCAACAACATCAACAACAACACACATCATGTTAAGACTGGTCGCTCTTCTCTGCTCGCGGGCCAACCAACACGTATATCCCAAACCTTGGATTCCCGATCTCTTCGTCATCGATCGAACCCACTTGGAGGTATATCTTTTTATGATGCATCGTGTATTTCGTGTAGTCCTTAAGGCAGGGGAAGAGAGGACAGATGGAAGGAAGGGACAAGGGGGGGAGGGAGGAGGATGGAACACGACAGAGAGCAGCAGGAGGGGGGCTAGGAGCAGAAAACACGTGGCAGAACCAGACGGGCAGACCGGGCGGGTAGACCCTAACAGGCGGGTCGGGAAGGCAGGCCCAGGCGGCCACATCGATCAGGGGGGTTGCTAAAGCGTGCGCCCTGCATGAATCGCGAGGAAGTCTCGAGCGACAGCGCGATTGCCAAACAAATCGTTGGGAAATCTACAGCGAAAGCGTGAACCAAGATTGTCCATGAGAGCGTTGCTGGCGAGCGCTGCGGGGAAAAACACACACAACAGTTTCCTTCTACAGATGGAACTCCAATCCGTCAACAAGGCCGCCGAAACATGAACAATCACACGTTTTTCAAAGGGGTTCTAAACACGTCTTGCGGCTACTACGACTACGACTACTACTACAACGGCAACACCACCAACAACAACAACACCATTCACAACAACAACAACAACAATCACTTTACCCGAACGCTCAGTGTTCTCACCAGTGCCAGGGTTTTCATGCGACGCCAGCCAATACCCCCACTTTGTGGGGGGGCAATGCAAGCTCTACCAAATATCCACACGACTCTTCGCCACCACCCACACCCAGCTTCCCGCCCTATGACGTTCGGACACTTCACTTCGTGGCCTGCGGACGACCGTGGCTACTACACTGGCGTGGAGTACACACCCACAGAAGTTGTTAAGCCTACGTTCGTACACCCACAGAAGTTGTTAAGCCTTGTTAACCCACAGAAGTTGTTAAGCCTTCCACAGAACATCTGTTGCATATGATGCATATGGTACATGATACACATGATACACATGATACGTACTCACAAGATAGTTGATCACATCTTTAGGGCAAATTCCTGAGGGATGTGGGAATACACAAGAGAGAGAGGATATGGTTGTCCCGATGGTTGTCTCGATGGTTGTCCCGATGGTTGTCCTGATGGTTGTGGTTGTCCCGATCGTTGTCCCGATGATTGTCCCGATGGTTGTCCTGATGGTTGCGCTTGTCCCGATCGTTGTCCCGTTGCAAGAGCGTGCGAAAGTAGCTCGCGCGAGCTCATGTAACATAAATGTTGGAAAACCATTGGTTTTTTTAGGATTCGGACAGCGCGCGCGGGTAGAAATTTTGAAAAGTCGTGCAGGTGTTTTTCGAGGACCTACGGTGCGATTCGTGTGATTTTATGATGCGCGGTGCTAAAATTCTTAAGAAGCCCAATGGTTTTTGGAGATTTCGGCGTGCGCGCGCGAAGAAAAAACGAATGTGTCCCGCATGGTATTATTTGACAGGGATGATGGCCCTGGCAGGTGCGCAACCGTTGTCGCAGAAGTTCGAAAAAGTTGCTCGCAAAAGCCCGTTTGACAGAAATGTTTAAAAAGTGTTGGGTTTCCTACGAATCCGCAAGAGCGCGCGGGATGAGATTTTGACAATTTTTTGTTGAAAAACCATTGGTTTTTTGATGTTTTTATGTTAAAATCGCTGCGAACACTAAGGTTTTGGAAGGATTTCGTCTTGCGCGCGCGAATGTCCACTTTACCTTATTTTTTGCAAGGGATTCTTGAAATTTGATTATATTAGAACAAGAAATGTCATTTTCTATTGTTTTTTGCAAGGGAAAGCGGATTACAACAAAACAACCGGATCCTGTACACACCCTCTTTTCTGAGGCTTCCTCACGAAAGTGATGAAAATGTAGCTGCGGCCTAGGCGGCGCAGGGGGGGCGCGCACCAGGGGGCCCAACAATAATTATTTTTTAGAATAAATAATGTTCAACAACAGCAGCCGCTGCAATAACAACATCAGTAATGTCTACAATCAGGTTAAGACGTTCCGCTCTTGACTGCTCGCGTGCCATTCAACACGTATATCCCAAACCCTCGATACCGCCTTCTTCGTCTTCGGTGATACCTCCTTGGGAGTATATTTGGCTTACCTGCCACATGTAATTGGTGCAGCCCCCAAAACACGGGAGAAGAGGACGGGTTGAAGGGCGAGGGACGGAACATGAGAGAAGATAGCAGGAGGGGGGCTCGGAGCAGAAAGCACTTGGCAGAACCAGACGGGCAGATCGGGCGGGTAGACCTCAACGGGCGGGTCAGGAAGGCGTGCCCAGGCAGCCAGGTCGAGCAGGCGGGTTTCTGAACCGTGAGCCCTGCATGAATCGCGAGGAGGTCTCGAGCGACAGCGCGATTCCCAAGAACGAGAGCGCGATTCCTGAGCGTCGAGGGCGCGGTGGTTCAGTAAATTGCGCGCGAGAATCCCACGCGAGAGCGCGATTCCTGCATAAGATGTGGGGAAGTCCCGCACGAGAGCGCAATTATACAATACATCGTGAGGAAGTGCCAGGCGAAAGCCGTTGTTGTTGTAGTTTGGGGGCCAGGGGCCCAATCTGAGCCGCAAGATCTTCCATTGTTAAATAAAGGATGCGAGCCCTGGGAAATCATTTCTTTTTGAAAAACACACGGTGCACCAAGAGGGGGGATCAACAATAGTTATTGGTTCGAGATGAGAATTCAACGACAGTAATTTTAAGATGGTTCCCTCTTATTTGCTCGCGTGCCACTCAACACGTAGATCCCAACCCCTCGATGCCCGCCCTCCTCTTCTTCGATCAGACCCTCTCTGGGGGCATCTCTTTCCGACCTGCCGCGTGCAGTTGGCGCAGCGCTTACAGCTAGGGGAAGGAAGAGAGGAGGGAAGACACAAGGGGGAAGACAAACATGGAGCACGAGAGAGATTTGCACGAGGCGGGTAGGATTAGGTCGGGCCTGTCCCTCTACAGGAGGCGTATTCAAAAATGGTCAAAAAATAGTCTCGGGACTATTTTCACCTATGTTTGACCATTTTAAGTTTTTTTGACTATTTTTGATTTTCGTCCAAAATCAGCATGTGGGGGGACAGGCCTGGCTGAAGGGTAGGACCAGGAGCACAAGCGGCAGAACCAGACGGGCGGGTGGGGTGGGCGGACCTTCACGGGCATGTCGGGCGGGCGGGCTCAGACGGCCGGGTCGACTGGCGGGCAGGTGGGTCGGGCGGGCGGTTCGTTGAAACGTCAATCCAGTGTGAATCGCAAGGAAGTTTCCAGCGATAGCGCGATTTCAAAATAAATCGCGAGGAAATCAGAAGCGAGAACCGGATTCTTGAGTCTCGGGGCCACGGCATCGCAAGGAATGGTGAGGGGGGACCACTCGGGAGCGCGATTTTGGCATACATTGTGAGGATGTCCCGCGCGAGAGCGCGAATTTGGAATACATGGTGAGGAAGTGCCAGTCGGGAGCCGCAGTTGTTGTCAATTGGGGGCCGGGGCATCGCTTGGTGACCAAGATTCCCCCTTCTTAAAAGCAGGGTGCGATCACCTCAGTGAAAACCATGTGGACCGGGCAGGGGGGATCAACAATTATCATTCTTTGGAGATGAAAACTCAACACAACACGCAGAATCCGCTGGACACAACGCAGCTTCTGCCACGCTCCCAGGGACAACGAATGACCGTTCGGCCCCTCACTCGCGCATCTATATACATGTATACATGTAGATAATACATGTTTACATACAGATACATGTATAGATATAGATACATGTATGTGTGTGCATCTATGTATGCGTGTGTCCGCGGTGTATTCTCTCTAGAGGACGTATTGGGGCTTACCTGGCCCATTGTGTAGGCATTGTTGGGGCGACGTTCGTTCGCATTGGAGGCCCTTTTCGGGGCCTCTCGGTGCCGTATTCGAGACCTCTTGGGAATTCATTGCCCTCTTGTGGTACCCGTAGGGCCACCCTGGGGAATCCTATCCTAAAGCGGCCAGGAGACTGAGGGTTACCCCTTCGAAGTTTATGGTTGTAGATAGCCTCCTCCCCAGCAGACAGCACAATGGAGACAGGACTGGACAGACGAGGAACAATTAGACAGCAACCAAGTAAAACGTCTCATAGCCAGTCGCCCCCGAGGGCGCGGTCAGTCTCATTCCCTCACGTACTCTTCGGGCTCAGTGTGGATGTCGGTCCTCGCTGTTTGCGTTCGTCTTCACCCTCACCGTGCCTTTGTCCTTCGCCCTCACCTTAGTCATGATACGATTCATAGCGCTAGGCCACCGGCATCATCGAGATGGCCGTCGTTGCAATCACCACTGTCGCTGTCGGTCAGCATGGCCGCCGTTCTCGCTGAGTGAACGCCATGTCTGACCTCTACAGCTGAAGGCACTGCTTGCAGCGACGCCCACCTGTTTCGCCCGAGTAGCTGCGCGCGCCAGCCATGGCTGCGCAGTCCGAGCCGATGAGTCCAGTGGGGGGAGCCAAGAGGCTGAGCGCAGCCCAGGGCGACGCAGAGACGCCCATGCCAGAGTGGCTGTGTAAGGCTGGCTCGACCAAGTCGTTGCGGGACCTGCTGCGCAGCGCTCTGCCGGACAAGCAGAGCTACATCGACGGCTGGATAGCGGCGCTGGCGGCGCCCGCCATCTGCGTCGAGACCATCGAGGACGTGAAGCGCCTGGACGAGGCTGGGAGAGAGGAGAGAAGCATGCCGTCGCCATGGGGGAAGCGAGTCCTGAGGGAAACGGGTCCTGCGGTTTGTCGCCGTTTTTCCGGGTTCTCGGGACCTTCCACGGGCCCTTTGGACCGTCAGAAAACAAGTCGGGATGAAGAGCTTGTCTTGGGGGAAGGCCCCAGGGTCCAGGACCCGCTGCCCTCAGGACCCGCGTCCTTCATGCCAAGACGAGCATGCACGGCGGCAGAACCCCCTTCTTCGATGCTCGTTTTGGGAACCTTCCTGGGGCCTACCTAACAGATCTGTTCGACTCAGGTTCGACTCAGGTTCGACTCAGATTCGACTCAGATTCGACTCAGGTTCGACTCAGGTTCGACGCAGGTTCGACTCAGGTTCGACTCAGGTTCGACGCAGTTTCGACGCACGAGTGGAGCGAGTGGCTCCAGGAAGGTCCCCAGAATGAGCATGCAACCCTTCCCGTCGGACTCCCACCCGACCATGAAAGACCCTCCTGCGACGGCCAAGCCATCGCACGACGAGGCACCCCAGAGCAGGCAGGGCCAGCCCAGCGCACCCGCCGGCCCGTCGATGGCAGAGCCCCAACCTGATAATGGACAACTCAGGAGGGAAAGAAACACACAGACACAACTAATCGCCGATTCCCCGGAAAATATGGGACAGTATGGGAAGTGGGGGGGGAAGACAAAAACCCAGAAACTATGGGAAAATATGGGGAATCCTTTGACTTGTGTGCATTTATTTGTGTGCCCCAGGGCCCCCTCAACAACGGCGGGCGGGGCCAGGGCGAGGAGAGAAATTCGTTCCAGGGCGTCCCGGAACGCTCTCCGAAGGCCGCGGCGCCCGAGGCGTCCTCCAGAGCCGCGGGATCTCAGGGGTTCTCGGTGTACGGTAGGTTCGCGTCATGTCGACCGGCGGCGACCCCGACGCCGGCGTTCAACATTGAGTGCCGGCGGAGGCCCAGAATCGGTCGATGTTGAACGATCGGACGTTACGGAAATGGCCGATCGTTCAAGGTTGAACGACCCTCGCGGCGTCAGGGACCAACGCCCAGGTCGACACGGCACGAACCTGCCGTATCCTCGCCCCAACTTTCGGGCCGAAGGAAAGGGGGGGATAGGGAAAGGGGGAGTTGCGAAATCTGCTGCATGCGGCTGGTTTCGGCCCCGCCGCCGGGCCCATTCATCGATACATGGTCGCCTCCCGGCGCTGGGAGGCGCTGGGAAAATCAGCTACGTACCTGAGCTGATTCTCAAACCCCCCCTTTGCTATCCCCCCCTTTCGCCCGACCCGAAACTTGTCCTCGCCGTGGCTTCGCCCTGCAGCGACGGCCTGGGCTGCGGGATCGCAGTCGCCGTGGCCAGGCTGGCCCCCGTGGGCGGGGGGGGGAAGCGGAGGCTCCGTCTCGGGGGTGGAAGGGGCCGTCCGCTTGGCATCGCTCGGACGTGTGTATTCTTTTGCAGGGCGAAGACCCTCGAGGAGCATCCTGGAGCATCGAGCACAGAGAAAAGCACGCACGAAACCTAGCAATGCCTGGGGCATGGACGTCAGAACGATGGCGAGTCCGAAGCACACGTGTATCCTGCGAGTCGTTCCAGGGGGGGGGAAGGGCCCTGCCCTCGAGGGATCGACGAGCTGCCCTCTTCCAGGCCACACCCCCACGCCTCCAACGACGATGACGCCGACGACGACGACGACGACGACGACGACGAGGAGGAGGAGGAGGAGGAGGAGGAGGAGGAGGAGGAGGACGACGACGACGACAAGGTGTTTCGCCGTTTGCAGCCTCCGAGGACCCTCGTCGGGCCCGGGGGCCATCAGAGCACGACTCGGGATGAAGAGCCAAAGAACCAGACCCTGGGAGAGGGTCGGATGATCGCACCGCATCGCCGACGCATCGGCGATGCTGCTCGCTGCTCGACGTGGAGCCCGATTTTCTGAACGTCGACGTTGCCGATGCATCGCCGACGTCGCGTTCTTTCGACCCCATCTGCTCGGACCCCACTTGGTTCTCTTCTTCGCCGGAGGGCCAGCGGAAGGAGGTGGAGGGATAACGTCGGCAAGCAAGCAGCGCCCACCCAAGATGTGCACACTTTAGGGGACGAGGACGAGGAGGAGGAGGAGAAGGAGGAGGCTTGGAGGCGGAGGAGGAGGAGGAGGAGGAGGAGGAGGCCAAGATGTGCACACTTTTGGGGGCCCTGGGTGCCTGAGAGGAGCCATGCGGTTTCCTAGCTCCCCGAGGCCGACATACCAGGTCTACCAGTGCCTCCCCTCGTCAGGATCCTAGCTTGCCCCGGGTCGCAGGCCAGGATCAGGATGGCCTTCCGCCCCGCTCCTTCTCATCCTTCTTCTTCGGCAGGCTACTGGGCGCGCACACCCGAAGCGTCAGCCTCCTCCTCCTCCTCCTCCTCCTTCTTCTGCTTCTGGGCCCGAGATCTGACCGAAGTCCGCGCGTTCCTCCAGAACGCTGGCTCGGGGACCCCGAAGATGAGGGAGATGAGCCAACATGCGCACCAGCGCCCTTGTGCTCGACCCATCTGTTGATGTCGGTCCCGCTCTTTGCCGACGTCCTCCGCCTCCATCTTCCGTTATCCTTCGCCTCCTCGTCCGCCTTCTCCTCCTCCTCTCGTCCTCCTCCTCCTCGTCCTCCTCTCGTCCTTCTCGTCCTCCTTCTCCTCCTCGTCCTCCTCGTCCTCCTTCTCCTCTTTCGTTATCCTTCTCCTCCTCGTCCGCCTTCTTCCGTCGCCACTGTTTGGCTCGAGCCATTTTGGTTCAGGTCGCCTCGGCCCGCGCCCCGTGCCCCAGCTCGCTCCGCGCTCCCCGCGGTCAATGCAATGCTGGCGTGCTGCCGCGGTGTGTGTGTGTGTGTGAGTGTGAGTGTGTGTGAGTGTGTGTGTTGCGGGAGGTGGCAGCGACGCATGCACCTCTTCGTTTTCGTCCTCTTCGTCTTCTCTGTTCGCCTCTCCACGTTCGTCTTCTTCTCCCTTCTCCTCACCGCGCACGTGCTGCCCCCTGCCGTGCTGGTAGAGATCTGCGTGGTGGTGCACGCTCGCACGGCTGCCAAGCCTGCCGAACGTCGCGCGCGCGCGCCGCGCAGAGGGGCGAATTGCAGCCGGAGCCCGCCGTCGGGCCGCAGGCTTCCTTCCTGGCGCCTGCGACGGTCGCCCGGCGCGCTCAGCTTCCCAGCCCCTTCACATCCAGGGAGGAGGAAGGAGAGAGGAGGAGGAGGGAGGAGGAGGAGGAGCAGGAGAAGGCGGACGAGGCGGAGGAGGAGGAGGAGGAGGGAGGAGGGAGGAGGAGGAGGAGGAGCAAGCAGGAGGAGGCGGAGGAGGCGGAGGAGGAGGCGGAGGAGGAGGCGGAGTCCAGTCCCTTCACATCATCTTTGCTGCTTTTCCCGACGGACGCTCAGGAGGGGATCGGCCCTTTGGTCATCTCTTCGCCCCCGCCATACACACACACACACACCAGCTCTCGCTGAACACCGCCGCCTGGTGGTGGAGCTCCGCAGAACGTGGCGCTTCGGCGCTGCAGCGGCTGCCGAGGTCAACGCGGCCCCTGCGCAGCAATCTGAACGCCAACGACGGCTCCAGCTCTTTCGGCGCGCAGCGAACGCTCGGCGCAGCTGGGCTGACGCTCTTCTCGACGGGGGTGAAGAAGCTGGTGTGTGCGACGATGCCGCTGGAGAAGCTGTGTTGCCTTTTACTTCCCTTGGAGTGCTGACCGGCACAGGCACGTCCCGCGGAGTGTTTGCTGTCCTTTCGTCTCCTTAGGGAGCTGGCGATCATGATCGGCATGCCGAAGGATTGGTCTCGCGTGCGGCCCCAGACTGTCGGAGAAGGTGGCCGGCTCCATGAAGCACATTTCCCAGCTGTTAGAAGCCGACATTATGGAGCTGGGTGCCCAGGTCGACACGCCGGCCGACCGCCTCAGCAGGCTGGCGTGCGCCATGGACCTCCCGAGTTCGAGGTGGGCAGCGTGGGCATCTTTGGAGGACTGCCTCGCCTCGTCGCTGGTGGCGCCTGGGGAATGGTGTCGAGCGCCAGTTCGCCTCCGAAGGTCCTCGATTTCTCGTGCCAGAACTTCTCTGAGGTGTCCCGAAAATATCAACCAGTAAAGCTTGTCGCTTCTTTTCAAAATGCTGCTTCGGAGTGGACTGTTCGCACTCGCGTTTCCAGGACGTTGCGGAGGCAGCCGCACGCGAGGTTCACATGAGGATCACGGCATTGTTTCCTGAGTCTGCCATGACGTCCCCATTGGTGTCCTTCTTGTGGCATTCGCGTGCCCCGAGATTGTCGAGACGATGCGAGAGGCCAGTACCGAGGACAACTCCGACCCGAGCCACCTTTACATCCTGGTAGATCTGGAACAGGACGGCATCAACCTAACCCATCCTGACATCTTGTGGGGAGTGGAGGAGATTCCAGCTCCGCCGCCTTCTCAACCTGCTGTTCCTGTGTTCCTTGTCCTCCGTCCCACGATGCCCGAGTGGATGATTCACGGCACGAAAGACCGCGGGACGACGCTTCTGGCCTTCAAGCTACTAGACCAGCGCAGGCGATGGTGCACAATGTGGTGGAGTACGGCACGATGCTGGTCAAGCGGCTGGGACAGCAACATGATGGTGCAGAAGTGGATGGAGTATGGCACGAAGGACTGCGTTACGGAGGCTCTGGTCTGCGAGCTGTTGTACAGTGCGCGACTATGACGCATGTGTGGATAGAGTACGGCACGACGGATTGCGTTACAACGACTCTGGTTTGCGAGCTGCTGTGCAGTGCGCGACGATGATCATTGTGTGGATGGAGTGCGGCACGACGGACTGCGTTACGACGGCTCTGGTCTCTTAGCTCCTGGTGCAGTCAAGACGATTGAGCAGGGGTTGATGGAGCACGGTCCGAGGACGGCCACGCTATCGGTACAGCGCGTGGCGATGGTTCACGAGTGGATGGAATACAGCAAAGAGATCTGCATGACGCTGGTAATGATCTTCAAATTGCTGGCACAGACTGCTCAAGACGATGGCGCAAGTGTGGTGAGAGGATGGAGTACAGCACGAAGGATTGCGTTACGGTGATGTTGGTCGCCAAGCTGCTGCTGGCACAGTGCAAGACGATGGTGCGCCAGCGGGTGGTGTACAGCACGATGGACTGCGTCGCGCTCTTTGTGGTATTCGAGCTGCTGGTGCCCTGCGTGATGCTGGGGCACGCGCGGGTGGGCTTGCCGCTGTTTCGTCTCCTGGGCAATGCGGGGTTCTCCCCGCGGACTCTCTGATTGCCCATTGGAGAGTACCTGGCGCACCTTGTTCATCTGTCGTGCTGAACTGCTCCTGCTGCGCAGTCGCGGCAAGTCCTTCACTGTTCTGGCGGATACACCCATCAGAAAGCAACTCAAAAAAAGCATCCACTTTCATAGACTCCGGTTTTCTTTTAAAGAAAACCCAGAGTCTGGACTGGACCCCGGGCGTTTTCTTCGAGCTTCTTTTCCTTGTAGAATGCTCGTGCATCTGGACCTGGGCGATTGTTAAAAAGCGCTTGGAGTGGAGTCGATCTCCTTAGCGTCGGGTTCTCTCAACTCTGATCCTGATTCGGCCATGGTGGGCGGATGGCGACGTGGATGCTGGCGACCCGCTGGGCTGTGGGCTTCTTGCCCCGATAGGCGACGATGTTGGCCACGATACTACATCGACGGCGATCGGGAATATTGCTGCGATTCCAGGTGCCGAGCGAGATCTTCTTCGTGCTTGAATTTGCCACCCCCTTGAAGACCAGGCGGCCCCTTGCGCCCCATGCCCTCGACGAGCTGACTTGCTACAGCTCCGCTGCTGGGGCGCGCCCTTCGTCGTCCTCGCTGACGGCTTGGCTTGGGAGCGGTGTGACTCCCATCGGCGCGCACTTGCGAGCCCCACAATTTCGGCGATCTCATCGCCACATCCGACGCTGGCAGTTTGCAGTGCGACGTCCCCGACGGCCGCTTCGAAGCTGCTAATTTTGTCGTTTTTTTCGACCCGCTGCGCGGCCTGATGAGAGGCAGTTTCAACGTCAACCAGCGCCCGTTGCGAGGCGGGCCCCGCGGCTCCGCTTAGCCGCCGGCGTGGAAGGAGAGGAGTTCCCCCTCGTCGTTTGTTTGTCCTCCTCCTCCTCCCCGTCCTCCTTCTCCTCTTCCTCCTCCGCCCCCCCCCCCCCCCCCCCCCCTCCTCCTCGCCCGCCTCCCCCTCCTCTTCCTCCTCCTCCTCCTCCTCCTCCTTCTGCGCGTCTTCCTCTTCCTCCTCCGCCTCCTCTTCTGCATCCTCCACTTTTGTTCCGTATGAATGCGGTGAGGGCGTCCGATCAGGAATGCATCAGGAGGCTCCAGACCCTGGAGGGTTCCTTATCTGATGAGGTCGGCGGCGACATCCATGGCCAATCCACGATTGGCGTTGCAGCTTCCAGACCCTGGATTCCTCATCGAATGGTTCCTTATCCAATACCCCCACCGTCCTCGAGCAGGTGCAGCCCCGCGCCCCTGGGACCTGGCTCGAGCGCGAGCAGGTGTCGGAGGGCCGCGCCCTTGCGTTCGGGCAGGGCCTGGAAGCTGGCTGGAGGCTGGCCGAGCTCCAGGCGCGCGCGCAGGGGTTGGCGGAACAGCGGGACGGAACCGAGGTAAAGACCGCCGCGGGGTCGGAGCTCGAGGAGTCGTTCGCGGAGCATGAGGGCGTGACCGCGGAGCTGCTGGCGCCCGTGCCGACGACGCCCGCGATTCGGCGCGGCGCGTCGGAGGCTGGGGGCGTCGCCGACGGCGCGCCGTCGAACCCTGCTTCCACACGCGACCTCATCGCCTACGCCGATGACGCGGAGGAGCCGCTTGTCGGGCTTGGCGTGGCGACGAGCGACGACGCGATGACCGCGGCGTACTCGGACGAGTTCGCCTACCCGTCGGAGTTCGGCTTGGAATCCAAGGTTTTGGAGTACCTCGACGGCTTCGACGGGGCACTTTTGAGCGGCCAACCGCAAGAGCAGGAGGACGAGGCTGACCGCTACAGCGTCGAGCACTGGCCCTGCGGCGAAGGCCACGGGCACAAGGAGGTCGAGATCGCTTGCGCATCGGACGGGCTGCAGGAGCCCCTGGATCAGGCGGCGTTCGCCGTGCAGGGGCCGCAGGAGGCCGAACGGACTGTCCAGGCCGTCTTGAATGGGCAGGTGGGGTTCATTCGGAAGCCTGCGGCCGACTACCACGCGGAGATCGCGCGCGGGGTCTCAGCGCTTCGCCTCAGCTCGCAGGACCCCGAGGCGATCGAG